TTTCGATTTTATAAACATTTATTATCCCCTTGACGACTCTTATTTTTTGTTGGCTTAATATAAAATTAGCCTTCTTTATTTAAAAGCGCATGATGACTATTATTTTAATAAAACAATCAACATCGTACCCTTGAAAAATACCTTAATATAATAAATATATCTGCTTATGTAAAATCAAGGCTGTATTTTAATGTAAACGTTATTAAGTATATAAGAAGAATCGCAGAAATAAAAATACGGAAAGGTAAAAAAGCTAATGAATATTTATTTTTGAATAAGCCTAAGCATCCCTAAGTAGGCACATGTTAAATTAGATTCCCGATGAAATACAAAGCTCTGAAGAGATTGACGTTGATTGCTGATGAGTTCAACAGTCTTCTCTGTTTCCTGTTCACTTTCCATTTTTCACTTCTGTTCTGTATTGATTGACTTCTCATGAGTCGAATGTAATATAAACAGCTCGTTATCTCTCAGGGTAGGTTGAAATAAGCAGAGCCCAATTATTTTTTTTATCTATGTTTTGGAATATAGCTTTCCTAATCTTATTTCCTCTAAAAAAATGTACTTAGCACAGCGTATTTTACTTTGATCAGTGCCATCCCTCTACACTGGTTTAAAAAAATAACAAGTTTTTTAAATGAGGAAATTGGAATAGAAACAAATATTATGTAAGGTAAAGTAGGTCTCAAATAATTCTTTATACGCCATGATGAATTAAAGTTGACAAGTTATTTAATGTTAAGACTTAAATAGGTACTAGTGTAATTTGCGAAAAGAAAATACAATCGTTGTGATGCTGAAATACAGTAGTCTCACTAAGTAGGAACCATATGAAAAACTTTTTTTGTTAATTGTTAATTTTTACTAATCTTTCTATTTCGAATTAACAGTTATCTCTTGTGATTATGAAACACATGATAACCTTTTCGTTTCTAAATGTTTTCCCTTAAAATTATTTTTAATTCTTCTAGCACTCTTAAATTTATTTACTATCTTCGTAACAGTTGAATGATTAATATTTTTATTGGGATGTCTATTATTAAAAACAATAACTGTTTATCTGTGTTTTATAATTTTCTCCCACAATCAAAACAATTTCTATTTTCTCTTCACAAGTTAACAACGCTACCATATTTATGTATCTTATAAATTCTAACGCGTTTTGAAACTCATTGTCAAACATTTCTTACTATCAACAAATCATTTGCATGTCAGTGCATCCTAGATTACATGTAACTACATACAGTTAAATCTGCATTGATATTGTAGACAAAAAAAGAAAAAATAATTTTTTAAATGTAAATGGATGTAATTGCCTATTTGATCGTAGTTTTTAGTTCTGAAACATTTCTTTATAACAATTTTCGATATTGTCAAATATAAAAGTACTTTACTCTTGAGTAAAATTGATATTTTTTAACAAACCGCGTATACGACTGAAAAAATTTAATATCTGATGATTGTATTTTACATTTTAGAACATGCAGAACTTTTTATGAAGAATAACTTTTTCCTGAAATTAATAATAAAAAAGTTTTCCATATGGTTCCAATTTAGTGAGACATACTGTATATTAATTTAATATACAGCGTGATGAAGTTTGAAACAAAATTCATAACTTTTACTGAGAAATTTTTTAAAAAATGCCGAGACAGGTCGATTTTGTTCTCGGAACAGACATCTTTTAAGATTATTTATTTGTATACAGGGTGACCCAGAAAAGCTGCACGGCCAATAAATCTGTTTTTTCTTATGGAACACCCTGTATATTTTTTCATATTCGGATAAAGCTTTCTCTTACGAATACAGTGATGTAAGGCTTGATGAATCTATCTCAAATAACAAGCGGGATATTGCGAGAAAATGACATTTATTTCAAAAAATTATTTAAATTGTACTTGGAAACGAAACAAATGCAAATAATTAACGAAAAAAGTTTGTAAGTTTAGCAATAAAAATTAGGGTTCTTTTTGTTGGCTATTTCGGTTTTTAGTATGTTTAGATTAACATTTTCACAAATTAGTACGTTATTATAAACTTAATAAACTTCGCAAATTTATCACAGATTTTTTTGGAGCTTAGAAGGAATGGCACATTTAACTGAACGTGAAAGGATAGAGAACTTATTGATGGTTAGATATGGTGATATGCTACGAACCCATGCGGAAGTATACGAGCTGTTTAATCAAACACATGCTGACATACCACCAATTACACGATCTACGGTGAGTAAATTGGTCGCCAAGTTTACAGAGACTGAGTCTGTAGGAAATAGGACACAAGGTCGACCTCAAATCGTTGAAGAAACCAAGTTAAATGTATTGCTGGAAATTGAAGAAAATTCCCATCACTCAACAAGACAACTAGCCCTAAACATAATGTGGACTAATCATATGTTGTAAAGTTGCTTCGTACAGAAAAGTATCATGGATATAAAGTCCAGCTAATACATGAATTAAATGATGATGACCCAGACCGCCGGTTGCACTTTTGTAAACAATTAATGTTCTGGTGTGATGAACATCCAAACTTCCTAAGCAACATAATTTCTTCTGACGAGGCCACATTCTGTAAATGGCTCAGTACATCGCCATAGTTGTTGTAGATATTGGTCAAATGACAATCCTCATTGGGCGCAAGAATTACACAGTCAGCGTAAAGGCAAATTAAATGTGTGGGTGAAAATTATAGGAAGGCGATTTTTTACGTCATTACTTTTTTTTAGAAAACCTACCTGCTGCTAGATATTTAGATTTTCTACGTTTTGAGTTGGTGCCGGCTGTAGCAGTTTTTTTCCTCAACGCTGCAGACGGCGATATACTTCACGAAAATATTTGGTTTAATCAAGATGGAGCTCCACCTCATTTTAGCTTAGTGGTTTATAAACAAAATCTGATTTAGTCGACATGCGACATCCAATTTCCTTGCAGTTGTAAATTTTTTTTTATGGATGCAGTTATTGAGTTTTTGGATAAATTTATTACCAATTGAAAGTAAAATATGTATACAATATACCAAAGTTTGGTTGACATTTTTGTTCCTTGCATAAAACCAGGTAGACAGGTATAAACAGGTTACTTTGATTTGAACTTTAACTTTTAATTGAATTGAATTGAACTAAATTGAAATTTGAATTGAATTGAACTTTAATTTTTTATTGGACTGAATGAATTGGACGCAGAGGGGCAATTGAATGGCCAGTTAGGTCTCCAGATATGACCTCAGGTCTCCAGATATGACCTCCCTTGACTTTTTTCTGGAGTCACAATAAAAATGTAGTCTACAAAAATAGGCCACAAAATATCGAAGTGTTGCATTTCTCCCAACACCCTCTTAGATTCACTACAAAATTTTGTTCACCGAATTCATTACTGTCAGGAGGTATTTGGTGAACACATTGGGCACCTTATAAAATAGGATTCCAAAGAAAATTTTACACCTGTCATTTTAAACTAATTACATAGGTACTGTAATTTCGACAGTTGCCCATGGCAACCTTCAAATTTTTCAAAAATTTGTTTCCTCCTGCCAAACTAGGCAAACAAAATTAATAAGTGGAATTTTTTTTTTGGCAGCTATCATATGGTTCAAAAATCAGTATATATCAAAGAGACATAAGAATGTCCCCTATTTTGGTGCAAGAATTACATATACTATAAGGTTTTAAATTTTAAGTTTTTTGGTTGTTCACTGCCATGATTTAATTGTAAACAATTAGAAGCTAGAGAAAATGACTGTCAACGTGACGTATAGCGAAGACGATTTTGACATCACAAGCCTACTTGATTGCAGTTATGATTTTTTAAGAATCATTGATATATTGCCATAGACATCGGTTTTCCACAAAAACTTACTTTCCTTCTATTTTAGTAATACCTTACTAAGTGAATTATACTGCAAATATAAATATCTGAATTCAAAAATTAAATGCCTTTTTTATTACTAAATTGAATGTAAGGTGCTATTTTTTATGTTTAATAAGGATCATTAATAAACTGTCATAAACATCGCATTTCTACAAAAAGTTACTTTCCTTCTATTTTAGTAATACTAAGTGAATTGTACTGCAAAGATAAATATTTGAATTTAAAAATTAAATGGCTTTTTTATTACTAAAGTGCAATCGCAAGGAATGTGTTTTGTTATGTTTTAATAAGAATCATTGATAAACTGCCATAGACGACACTTTTCTACAAAAACTTATTTTCCTTCTATTTTAGTAATACTAAGTGAATTGTGTTGCAAAGATAAATATTTAAATTTAAAAATTAAATGCCTTTTTTATTACTAAAGTGAAAGGAATATGTTTTTTATGTTTTAATAAGAATCTTTGATAAACTGCCATAGACATCGCTTTTCTACAAAAATTTACTTTCCTTCTATTTTGGTAATACTAAGTGAATTGTATTGCAAAGGTAAATATTTGAATTCAAAAATTACTAAAGTGAAAGGAACGTGTTGTTTTTTATGTTTTATTAAGAACCATTAAAATTATGTCATGCACCACAAAACAATGTCTACCTGTCAAGCCAACTTTATTTTGGCGAAATAAGTTTCAAAATGAAACATGTCAAATTTTTAAAATAAATTTTGGTTGTAAAATTTTCTTACCGACTCCCCCACGTCCTTGAATTAATGTCCGGAAATTTTTCCCCAATCACGCATTTTTCTAGAAATTTTCAAAAAATGCGTTCATTCGGAAAAATGTCCCGGAAATTATTCAAGCACTAGGGAGATTATAAGTGAAAATATTTGTTGTTTATTTGTTAAAACAAGTTTTGTTTATATATTTCTATAGCAGGGAGAAGGAAAATTTCCCAAGATTTTAGTCTTCACCATTTTTTCCAGGTAGAAGGTCGAAAAAGATAAAAAAATATGTAAAAATCCCTGTACAAGTGCTAGAATTCAATATTGATATTCATCCAAATTATTTATACATATAGCAATAAAAGTTTCTCTTTCCCTTTTTATTTGTCGGTAACACATTTTTTTCTGTCCAGAGTGCAGCGCTGGTAGCCGTGACGAACGTGTCCGAGTATCTAGACGAAACAGCAATAAGAAGAATGATACTGCCGAAAACAAAAGTGATATATGAAAAGAACCAGGGGGATTTAAAACTTGTGTCGAATGTGCTTTCGTGTGTTGAAAGGACTTTGGATAGATTGGATAAAGCCCAAATTATAGATGAAGTTTTGCCTCTACTCTACGACATTCGACTGTCTGATCCCCAGATCACATTAAGGGTCGTAAGTAAGTGCCGATATATCCAGTATTTTCAATAGTTTTACGGTAGTTTCTGAAATGTTTTTGTATCACGTATATCTTCTTTAGAAATATTTATTTGTAAGTGTTTTATACTTATGGCATTTCGATAATAATATACAGGGTGTTTCAAAACATGTGTCGGAAAATGTAGGGTGTAATTCCTTGGCTCATTCTAAGAAAAAAGTTCTCATTAATATGGGTCCGCAAACGCACCGGTTTCGAGATAACAATTCATTTTCCGACACATGTTTTAAAACACCCTGTATATGATGTACAAATCCCATATCTTACGTAAGGAGTTATTTTAATGGATGATTGTTACTATTCCATTTTCACCCTTTTTATTTTCAACTTTCCCATAACATACTTTTATACAGGGTGTAAGAAGTTTGACTGCCATTACTTCAGCATGAGATAGAGGAATCATAAATGAACAAAAAAGTTGTATATTACAGGGGCGTAAGATTAACAGTTTTCAAAATACAGCAAGTATTAATATTGGGGAGTTTCATCACAACGTGACAACAGCGCTTAACCTAATGTTACACAGCTGATGCACACCACGTGTACACGCAGCAGACTTATCCTACGGAATAACAAAAATGTAAACTAACTATTATTGTGAAACATTTAGTAAACTTCAAGACAATTGTTTTCCTTTCCTTTCTCTAGCTCAGCAGATATTTATTGAGCGCCCGAAAAGTTAAAAATAAAAGAATATTTAATTTAAAATATTCATTATTTTTCATTTACATGAAAACTATCAGAAGTAACCCCACATAATATGGTATTGTTGGAAAGGTAATTCTATATGCTTTTCATATTAGTTAATAAAAATAGGCCATTCCATTTAAAAATTTTTAGTAATTTTTAAATTTGCAAACTTCGATCACTCTGTATAACTAAAGAATAATGACAATACTTCTGTGGTTTCTAAGAAACTTCAAGACTATCAATGATTGTTAAAACTACATCATACTGAGTGTTTACAAATGGCTGCATCGGAGTCTGTTTTCGGATTTATGAGCCTCTACTAGAAAAACGGCCCATCGAAACACCCATAAACCCTATATTATTTTGCTGCATTTTGATAAGGCTTGCAAAAATATACAGGGTGTTCTTTTTAAAAAATGCAAGTTTGTCTCAACACTCTGTATATGATTAGTACAAAGAAATGAAAATAATTTTAAAATGCGCTCGCTATAGATGCACGCCACTGGACTAAATTTCATTTTGATATCTTTTCAGGCTTAGGAGCTATCCTCCGTCCACACACTAATGGCGGACCTGGTATAATACCACAATACCACAAAATATTCATTATTCCTCCCGAATCGCCCTGTATTTCGACGCAAGCTGTAATTCTCTTAAATATCCAGACATGATCACGTTAGAGCACCCCCGTGATCCTAAGCAATTATTTGGACAACGCAACAACCCTTTACACAGTCGACTTACCTGGGAGATCCCTGTTGTATTTCTTAATTAATATTAAACACCCTTCGATAACAAGATATGCAATGTCGCCATATCGTGGAATTTTGGGCGATGTAATTTGTCTGTGCTCAGGTCAAACCCTCAATCTTAATAATTATGCGGAAGGACACGTCTACATCAATCACTTTGAACCTATGTCAGGTGACGCTATCAATATTAAATGAGCCCTCTCTCTGAGCCACGGCGCCCAAAATACTACCTTCCATTAAACAAGCACCTAAAACTTTTATGCCTACTAATCCTGCATTTCTCTCCAATTCTTCTGATGAAAATTGTGTTTAAATACCGTGTGTCCGTTTTTCGAGCTAGTCCAGGGGTATTTCGAGTATCTTAAAAGATACAAGGTTGTTCAAATAAGCACAAAATTACGTAATTTGAGGATGAATAATGTGAATTTCCTTTAAAAATTAGTTTTCGGGAAATTTTATGGAAACGAAACAAATGAAAATATTTATTTCTTCAGTTAGAGAAATTTTTTGATTCTTTAAATTGCAACAGTTTCTACCTAAATACAGGATGATTCACAAATAGTGACCAAAAGTGAAACCTCGTATTCTTTGGTGAATTCTAATAGGAGCCTTTCCTATAAAGTTTTTATCTAGGACGCTTCGTTAAAAAGATACAGGGTGTAAACTTCAAATAATATTTTTAATTTTTTTAAATAATTTAAAAACTAGTTAATGAAATAATCTGAAATTGGGCATATCTATTTATGTAAACATTGTGCAAAATCTGAGGGCTTTTCCTAAAATTTACATGCTCCAGTGGCGGAGATACAGGGTATCGGTGGCATATTCTTCTAAATAAAATCGTACGTCACTGCTTTACGGTAACAACCATGATATTTTCGGATTCGTCTTTCAATTTTCTATAAATTACTACTGTCTTATGTTTTTCGGAAAAAGACTGATTTTCGAGTAAAACTTAAAAAACCAACTGAAAACACTTTTACTTAAATGACAAGACAAGCACTAATCATTCGGTTATTTAACCGAATAAAGAAATTAATAACATTACTCATCATTTTAATGACTTTATTTGAGTAAGTGCTCAAAAATTTCTACGAACAAAAGACTGACGTCTTTTTAGTAACGAAAATGTAATTTGTTCGAAATTTATTGTTGCTTGAGTCTGATGAAAAGCATTATTTATTATTTCTTCTAACTGCTCAGATTGTCAAAGTTGCTATGGCAACCCACTATGTAATTTTAAAAAGCATTATATTCGAATATCGAAATGTTATCTCAGTTCGTTTTTAAGTTTTACTTTTTTTAAAAAACAAAAGAGAAGAAAATTGAAAGACGAATCCGAAAATACCATGGTTGTTACCGTAAAGCAGTAGCGTACTATTTTATTTACAGAAATATACCACCGATACCCTGTAACTACGCCACTGCAGCATGTAGATTTTAGTAAAAGCCCTCTAGTCCAGACGGTATCTGTTTCAAAAAGTTCAAAATTTTTTTAAAATAGGTTTTAAAAGTTCTTGGAAAGACGCTTCTTTAAAAAAAAAAACAGAAAACCGTCATTTACACTAAATGTACTGGGACATCCGGGCTAATTTTTCGAAAAATACCTTTGGTATTCCTAGTACTTACCAGATCTAAGTTTGCAATACTTTTCTTCACTGGCAACTTACTTTAAAACGTGTTTAAAGTTCTTTATGCTAGCGAAAAATTCAAGAAAATCGTACGGTTGGTAGTGGTGAAGCAAACAGAGAGCGCGGCCGCTTCGGCCTGCTCGAAATTAAATCGGTGAGTTCAAAACCGCGATCACTTAAAATTTTTTAATATCTCAGCTTCTAGAGGTCCGATTTTGATGATTTTTTTTAAATCGATATCTCGCGATTTGAAAAAACTATTAGCGTATTTTCAAATGCCTATCGTTAATAATTATTGGTCTTTCAACAGTCCGATAATTATTTATCTTTAAACTTCCTTTAATTATCAACTTTACTGTATCAGAGGTAAGTGTATAGACCTGTATACTATTTATCAAAGATCAAAAACAAATTATTTAAATATTCTAAAATTGTTTAAACAACAATTATTTTCAAAATATGTCGAAAATTAGTAATGTAATGAGTTAATTTCTCAATTGCTTGTATTTTAAACAATAAATAATATTTGAATTATACTTTAATCACAAAAGAAATGATCATTAAATTAATAAATTAATTATAAAAAATCAATAATATTTTATTCATACTTAATTGCATTAATAAATCAAAATTTAAAAAATGTACACAAATTTTTGTTTAAATTTATGAATGTGTATTATATTTATTTATATGAATAAAAATATATACCTATTAAGAATTTAGTCAAACTTTTTTTACATGAGATTTCGTTTTTTTCTTCGATATTATATTTATCAACTTCTTCATTTTCAAACTCAAAATAATTATTAATTTCCGAGTTATCTAACACCTCACTCGCGTACTCTACTTCTGCTTCTACTTCTTCTTCGATCGAATCGATTTCGTCATTGATTTCTTGACAACCACCATTAGCCCTACGATTTTCTTGAATTTCTCGCTAGCATAAATAACTTTAAACACGTTTTAAAGTAGGTAGCCAATGAAGAAAAGTATTGCAAACTTAGACCTGGTAAATACACTCGGAATACCAAAGGTAATTTTCGAAAAATTAGCCCGGATGTCCCAGTACATTGAGTGTAAATGACGGTTAACTTTGATCGGCTATAACTACGTAACTAATTGACCAATCGATCTGTTTTTTTTTAAAGAAGCGTCTGTCCAATAACTTTTAAAACCTGCTTTAAAAAATTTAATTTGATTGAATATTCGCAAAGTTATTCTAATTGTTTAAAGTACAAAAATTCGACCAATGTTTAAACAAGCGCGAGAGCTCTCCTAATTGACGAATTCGAATTTTTTTAAAATGCGTTTGAAAGCTTGAGAGCCGTTCTATATGCTATTAAATTTTCAAGTATCTAAGGGTCTTGGTCTTTGCTGTGCAAAATTTTGAAAATTGCAAATTTTTTTCAAAATCTGAATTGCAAAATTATTATGCAAAGTCTATCGAACCGATTTTGATGAAATTTGGTGTGATGATTCTACACAACATGAAGTTTTCTTGAGCCAGGTATGAAGGTCCTATACCCAATTTAAAGACCACAAAAAAATTTCCTAAGAAGTAATGTTTTTTAACCCCAATTTTAGCGATTTTTTCGATTTTTACAGTAATAATTATGATTTCTTCGATTTGTAACTAACTAGTCATATTTTGTAAAAAATTTAATTACAAATACAAACTTTATTTTCCTCTTCCATTTTCGGCTAAAATCAACTCTTGAAAAGATACAAAATTAAATTGGAAAAAATAATACATCTTTCGAATTTTTTTAACATATCGTGCCGTCAAAAGTTAAGCCCACGTTTTTTTTATGCGCATAGAAAAATTTTCATTTCTAGTGACATTTGAAAGCCAAAAAGTCAAAAATCTCCGTGGATATACGATTCACCC